TCATCACTTCTTCAGGTCTTTTTCAGTACTTCCATGGAGTAAATTCTACTTCTTTTTCGCTTCTTTGGAAGTTCTTTTTTGCTGGGTTGTAGCAATTATTGAATTTTCAAAAGAGTAAAAACGTTGGTATATATTAATATTGGAAACAAATTAAATAAATAATTAATATTTTTTAAGATAATTAAGAAAATCTGTTTTACCCTTTTTTACTCCTAAATATAGAAATTTCATAAAATCCCTCCTTAGTGGGTCATCATAACCAAAAAGACATCTACTGTAAAAATTTCATGGTTTTAGGTTCAGCCATTTGGGCTGTGCGATGAGTCAGTAACGCGACTCTTTTATATATACATATATGTAGATTATTTTGAATTTTAGTTATAAAATCTTTATTTTTGTCTTAGACGCATACAATTTTGTAGAGACATTATGCATTATCCTCTAGTGAATCATAATCAACCAAAATGTAGATTTTTTTTGATATTACGTTGTTTTGCATTTTAGGTGTATGTAAGTAAGATTTCTAAATTGGTATAATAGTTATTATTATACCAGTTTCTCAAAATTGGTCCCAATCAAATCTATAACGATTCCTCAGAACCAGTCTCAACGCCAAATTAGAATGAGTACCAAAGTTAACAAAATTATTTTATTTTATTTATTCATTTATTTTGTAATATTAAGCCTTCGCGGCCAAAAATAACAATATTACATCCCAGCAAAAAAAAGTGAGGAAAAAGAAGTAGAATTTTCACCACAAATAACATACTTGAAGTACTTCCAATTTTGGTGAAAAACCTATGAATTTTACATTAGCATGTCATTGGAGGGATGTTGTTCATTTTTGACAACTTTGAACTACATCTAATCTTCTTCATAGATGCAGTAAAAATCCGATATTTGGATGTCAAAAATAAACCACATTCTTTCAATGACACGCTTATGTAAATTTCATTGGTTTTTCATCAAAATTTGTAATGTACTTCGAATATGTTATTTGTAGTGACTTTTCAACATCTCTTTCCTCACTTTTAACTCGGTTTTTATTTGTAAGGAAATATTTGGTTTATAGAAGCGAAAAATATGCAATTATTTTTTGCTGGGATAGTAATAATAAAAACCTGAGATCAATAAGTAGTAATACATACATATAATCAGGGAAACCAAAATATGCAAATGCATGTTTTTTGTGGTGCGTCGTATGGACTCATGGATAAGATATTTGCACGTTTCAGACCAATTTAAGAATTTTGGCATCGATTTGTTAGAGCATATTTTTGCATATTTTACCCATAAGAGCATAATTTTGCATGATTTGAATTTTGTAGCATATTTAAGGCATATTTTCGAGTTTTTAGAGCATATTTTACTCTTTTAGTGCATATTTTGAAGTTTTTCGCTTTTTTTCATTTTTGTACATTTTTAATTTTCTTTTCAAAACTTTATTTAAAAAAATCAAATTTAATTTTTTTTTTTTTTAATTTTTTAGCCTATTTTACAATTTTGAAAAAAATTATTTTCTTTGTAGAACTTGAAAACTGCAAAAAATACATTAGTCTCATGAAAACCAATGTTATATTTTTTATTCAATAAAGCATTAAATTTTAAATCGGACATAAAACCGATAACTTTGGATATCATGGCACCAATCCATTTTTATCGTTTAAAAAACTAGTATTGATAAGTATGTCAAAAAGACACAGAAAAACGCAGAGACACCTAAACTTAATTTTGGGCCGTAGAATCTAGTGGCTTACTCCGTTTTGAAAATTTAGGTCAAAATCGGGAGATATTGTGTTTTAAAGTATGAACTGTTTATGAGGTGATTTTTTAATTTTTAAATTTTTGAAAAAAGTTTTCACGCATAGACATACGAACTAATTATAAAAAGCTAAATATATGTATATAATTAATTCATAATTTTCTATGCGTGAAAGTTTTTTTAATTTAAATAATCAAAAAACACCTAAGAAACAGTGTAAACTTTAAAATCCAATATATCCCGATTTTGACCTAACTTTTCAAAACGGAGTATGCCACTATATTCTACGACCGAAAATTAAGTTCACGTGTTTCGGCGTTTTTCTGTGTCTTTTTGAAAGTTGAAATTTTACTTACAGTGTTATTATTGGATTTTATGACAACACCGATTAAAATGTCAGTTTAGAAGCTATGAATACAATTGGAAGAAATGTGTCAAACTTTGTCGTTTGAAATATGTTTTTTTGGGGACCAAATGGCTTCATGTTGTTTATTGGTTATCTGAACGTAAAACAGAGTTCTATTAAACTAGTTCTTCAAACTATCAGATGAATCAATTATAAAAAATCTAGTAGGATGAAATATGACATTAAATATTTATTATTTCATTACAATTTCAGTCTTTTTAAGCTTTTCAATGTTAAAATATAATTTAAAATAATTATTTTTTGAGCATATTTTTTAAATTTTAAGAGCATATTTTGAGTTTTTTACGACATATTTAAAGCGCTTAAAACACTTTTTTAGAGCATGTTTTCGGTTTCCCTGCATATAATTAAATATAATTCAGTATTAATCATCTGTTGGCTCCCAAGCCGAAAATAATACATACATATATTAATAATTAATTGAAAATTAAATGCAAATAAAAAGTCCCAATCAGCAACAAAACATATATATATATATACATTAATTTTAGCCTGGAACGTGTCCTTGAATGGGCTTCTAGTAATTCATTAACTGTGAATCCCTCTAAAACTAACGTCATTATGTTTGGTCCTACAGCTCGGTTTTTCCCTAATCTAAATATTACCTTTAATAGTGTGGATGTTGTCTTCATTGACCATCTTAGGTGTCTAGGTCTTGTTTTAGACCCCAAGCTTTATTTCTGTTTCTGGTACCTGTTCTATACACTTATCCAGAATTAAACGCCTGGTAAATTCTGTGGTCCGCTTTGTTTATAATGAAAAGCGGCGCGAACATGTTTCACGCTTTGTTTGTAGTTTTCTTGGTTCTACCTTCGACGACTTTGTAAAATACCGGAATATTATACTATTTCATAATATTGTCAAATGTAGAAAACCGCTTTCACTTTACAATTCTTTTGTATTTACAAATTTATATACCTAGAATTAGTTCTTCCTTTTTTGAAAGATCTTATGTGGTTAGAATTGCAAGATGGCGGAATATATTACCATTTTCCTTACGACTTTTTTCGCAATCTAATAACGTATTTCGGTTGAAACTTATGATACATTTTTCTACGCCCATTTTGGTATGAAACAATATTCAAAAATCTCACTATCAATCTCTTTATTAAGGTTTAATGTATTATAAAAGTTTTGTGGGAAAAAGGCTAAAGTAGTTTTGCTGGAGAAAGTTTTAAAATGTTTAATTTCAATACAAATCACTTAATAATGTCGATATATATTTTTTATATAACAAATTTACAGGGTGTAGAATTGATTACATCGATTTGAAAATGTAAAAACACGATTTTTGCATAACTTGAGATAAGCACTTTTTCTTTTTTGTTACTGAATTGCTATTTGATTGATTTTTTATTAATATACATATATGTATATATTTTATTTTTGAATCACATTTTGTTTCGTATTCGTAACCGGATACAGGGAAGTTAGAAGGATATAATAAAATGTATACATTTATGTGAGTGTCAAAGTGCTTGACATTAGCTTTTATTGATAGCAGTTGGTAACTACATATGTCAGGATGCCGCCTAGTTCATTATATACATACATGTACATATATTTTGTTGCTGGGGAGCCAACAGGTGATTATTAAAGAATTATGTTTAATTATATTACTACTCATTGATCTCAGGTATTTATTATTACTTTGGCCGCGAAGGCATAATATTACAAAATAAATGAATAAATAAAATAAATAAATATATAAGAAAATAAAATGTTCGTGTCGAATATAAAATTCTGTGGCAAAAAAGAAAAAAGTTATTCAAGTTATTCAAAAGTCATGTTTTTTCTGTTTCAAATCGATGTATCCAAGTCAACATCCTGTAAATTTCTATAAAAATCGGATCTTTAGAACTTTATTTCGTGAACTATATAGTTTTGTATTGAAATTAAAAGTTTAAAACATTCTCCTGAAAAAACACTTTTGTTTTTATTCCACAGAGTATTCGCTACAGATTAATTAACCCCCTCATTTTATAAAACGAAACTTTCGTTAACGTAAAAAATTTGTATGAAGAATACTGGGAAATTTTTGAAAATTTATATTTTTTCCATACAAATTTTTTTGGAACGTTTGTCGTTTCGTTTTATAAAATGAGACCCTAAACTTTAATAAAATGATTGAAAATGAGGTTTAGTATTTAAAATAATTTTTCGGTTTTTATTATTTATTGTTTATTATTTCTTTATGATTTTTAGATTGATTGAAAATAGTTTGGGAAAAAAGTCGTGTTTTCAACAAAATATCCTATGGGGGACACGATTTTTTAGCTACAAAAAATCTTTCTTTTGTTTTATGGTGGTTCCCAAAAATTTCTAGTCTATCTATGGCCCTTCGTGTGCTGGACCTGTTACAAAAAAGTTTGTTTGTTTTTTAAAATTTCACTGTTTTCCTTTAACAAAATATACAATATGTGGTATGAAAAACCTAAAAATTTTAAATTTTTTGGAAAATGACAATTATGAGCAGACGGTTATTTATGTTTTAAAACCCCTTTCAAACGATACCTCATATTGGATATATTGTTTCAAAACAAAACTAAAATTTTGTTTTGAAACAAATGTCATATGTTATGTCATATGATGTTACCCAAAATAGTGTTTAGTGTTGTTCATTCGTGAGCTGCCAGACAGTTTTCAAGAGCAAAACTTAAATAAAAAAATTTTTTTTTAAATTTTTGTCCCTCTAACGACTAAAATATTTTGTAAATCACTCGTACCACACAGATTTTTTGTGATTTCTTTTTTACATAATATTAAACAAAATGAATTACAATTTAAGCCAAACACTTACACTTATTTTAGAGAGAATAGTCAGTCGTCAGCTGTACTAGAGCCTACCATGGAATTTGCAGCATTAAGTCTACGTAATGCTTTGACTCTGACACAATCTTTCCTTACAAAACTATATGTGTCACAGAAGAATGATGAGTGTATTAATAATACATCGGAAAGTTACAACTGGCGCACAACTACAGATAATAACTTTTGTCCTCCATCCCGTCCGATAACAAAACAAACCTTTTGTATTTTACTTTCATCTATATATGCGGCGTATAGTTATGTTTCATTGAGATTGGGTGATTATGTCACAGCATTAGAAATGGCTGAGAAACTATTAAAAACGGATTCCCTTTCCGACGCCCATAAGTAAGTAAATTAATTTGTACCCGTACATGCACTGTTTCCAGATTTAACATATTGACTGTAACATATCAAATATTTATATTCTTTAAAAATTCGTTTCATTATATTATTTTTATTTTCAAGAATGTTGGCACACATGTATGCTGGTGAAGCTCTTATTATGATGGATAAATTATCTGATGCCAGATCCCATTTGGAACCTACATCAGTTTCAAATCTGAACATATTTGATTTTGAAACAAAAGATTGGCAAGTTAAATCAGTAGATGCTGCTCAAAATATTGTTCGTTACAATTTGGCAGTGGCTATATTTTTACAAGGCGATGCTGAAATGGCACGAAATCTTCTGAATACTTGTACTCACCCTATAGTATCACAAAAAGTATCTACATTTAAAAACCTGCAAACATCAACGACGTCGGCTTCTGCTACTTCAACAATTTACTTCACACCGAGGATCTGATTAAATTTCAAAACAATATGGAATATTAAATTCAATAAAATTAAAAACTACCAGTCGGCTATTTGTTTCTTTATATTTTAAATTTGTTTAACTGCACCTGTAGCTAAGACTCTCTTGGCCCGAATCGAGAATTCACAACGCCAACTCTAATTTTTCCAGTACGACGGGCCAGAACACAAAATTAATTTTTATTTGGTTCTCCACCAAAGACTTACATATATAGGTAAAGTTAAAACGATTGGTCAACGTGCACTTAGAAAAACCGTAACTCTGTACAGTTATACGGAGTCACACATTTGCCTAATGCGGTTGAAACGTAAAAAAGGAGGATATATATGGTCAATTTCGTGTCAAGTGACCCAACTTTTAAAATCGATGTCTTCCGATTTGGATGAAATTTGCACCAAGATTAATTGGATAGTAGGTCAGGCACAAATTTTCACAAAGCTCTTAAAAGAAAGGTCTAAGCTTTCTTTTGAACAAAAAAAAAAAAAAGACAATTTTTGCTAGGACCAATAGAGCTAAAAATTTGTGTCTGACCTATCTTTTAGTACTAACCTTGGTGCAAATTTCAACCAAATCTATTTTTTAAGTTGGTTCACTTGACAGGAAATTGCCCATATATGTATATACTAGGGATGCCAAACGGGACTGACTTTTACAAATCCCTTGATTCAAGATTTTGAAAATTGCAATCCCGGGTTATTTCTGGATCCCGGGATTTCAGGATTACATAAATTTAATTATTTTATATATGAAAATCTTTAAATCTTCATTTTTGTAAAGAAAATTTTTTAATTTTTTTTTGGAAATTTAGCAGACAGAAAATGTATTCAAATTAAAAAATGTCATATGTTGTTGCATTTTTTTTTCATCAGAATTTGCAGGTCAATAAAGTATCTTGCATTTATAGAATTCGAGTTAATTTCGTTGGGGTTTTCAAATTATTTTTTAATCACTTTGGAATTTATTGTTTTATTGTTAAAAGGACACGTGTAAAGTATTTATACCCTACACCACTTTAGTGGGGAGGGTATATTGGATTTGTGCTGATGTTTGTAACATACAAAAATATTCGTCCTAGACCCACCTTAAAGTATACCAATCGGCTTAGAATCGTTTTCTGAGTCGATTAAGCTATGTCCGTCCGTCCGTCTGGCTGTCCATGTAAACCTTGTACGCAAGGTACAGGTCGCAATTTTCAAGATAATTAGATGAAATTTGGCACGCGCGTTTTATTTGACTCAAGGACGAAGCCTATTGAAAATGGTTAAAATCGGTCCATTATTTCACCTAGCCCCCATAGAACAGAACCCCCCGAAAAGGGCTTCTGAGCTCATAATTATGTTAAATATACAGATATATCGATAAAATACGGCACAACTAAGTTTTATAGAAGTCTTGATAACCCTGCCAAATTTCATAAAGATCGGACCCCATTTGACCCTAGCTCCCATACAAAGTCTCCTTCAGAAAATTACTTGAATGTCCCAAATTAACTTATAAACACAAATATCGCGATGAAATTCAGCACAATAAAATATTATGTAAATATAAATATATTCACAAAATTTTATCGGGCTTGGTCCATATTTGCCCCTAGCCCCCATATAAAGCCTCTTTCAGAAAATTAGTTTTTCATCCATAAATTGCTTAAATGTATCGGAACAAGGGAATATTGAAGATAAATGCGATATTATGAAAAATAAATCACATTTAATATTCATAACTGGTGTAGGGTATCATATGGTCGGCCACGCCCGACTATACTTTCTTACTTGTTTTCAATTGCAATTTGCTAAAATCATATCCTCATTGTGTGAAACTGTGAAATTATTTGCGTTAAAATTTTTTAAAGGATAATAATAAAAAAATTAAATTTTTTTTTTCGAAAACATTGATATTATACAATTCTAAATAAAATTCACACAGTACTCCCCGATAGATGGGGTTTCCGTAATGTAGTTTTTGTTTATCAATACAAAATGACCAAAAACCCAGATTATTTTGTTATAATATATAGATTTAAACCCCACTAAATATTGTTTCTAAGTCCAAATCCATTGATTTTCTAATATGTATATCAATTATCTAATTCCAAATTACTTATTATTTTCGAAATAAAATCAAAGTAAAGATAGATTTCATGTTTGATCATAAATCGGTTAAGAAATGTCAAAATTTAGTCGTACCACCACTAAAATATCTAAAAATTGTTATTGTAATATATCCCAGCAAAAAAAGTGTGGAAAAAGATGTAGAATTTTCATCATAACTACTTCTTTAATAACAGTGCTAATACAACTCATTATAAATGCCTTCCTAAATTTAACCTATTCCTCAGTTAAAAAATTCCTTAAAACTTCAAAAATTAATTGAGATTGTTAATTCAATTTAATCAATTTATGTGTTTTTAGAGATATTTTTGATTATTAATATTATTTTATATATTTTCCCATATTTATTATAATATTTTGCTTAAAAATATTTAAAATATCTTCTTTTGCTGGGAATGTTAATATTATTTACATAAGTCAAATTAGTTGTATTTTATAATACAAGTTCGTATCCATATAACTTCCAAAAAAGAACATAAAAATTACTTCTTGAGAATGACTTCAGAAGTAGTGAATTTGGAATATACCGGGATTTTCGGGATCGGGAAAAATACCGGGATTTTCGGGATCGGGATTGACATCCTTAGTACTATTAGGTTAGCACACTTGGTATTTGGTTCTGCTGAAGATTGTGTCCAGGAGAAGGATTGATATTTGGGGTAGATGCACTTTGGAAAGAAAAAATCTATATACAACAAAGCAGCGGAACAAAATGTAATGTCTCGTGATCCTCGAAGGACACGTGTTACGCATAAAACAGAATTATGTATCTCTTCATGCAGAAGTTTCACAAAAGCTAGACAACTTCCGATTTTAGACTTTTTTAAACGTCAAAGGTGACACCCCTGTATACTTTGTGAAGTGGCTGTGCAACTACATTCATATTGAGTGAGTTAATGTTTTGTTTACGTTAAAACAACACAATATAAAAACTTTTTTCTTCAATAAATGGTGAAAATATGTATGGCTGTTACGACTGGTTTCCGTGCCTGAATTTGCTGAAATTTGGTAATCTTGAATACAATTGATGAGAATATAATATTATGTTCAAATATTCTAAATTAAGTTCGAAAAAATTTTTATGATATTAAATTACGAAATTCAAACTCATGTTCGAAAAAAAATTAAAGCTGAAAAACCAGTTCTGGTGGACCGAATTGGCTGAAATTTGGCAGTGTTAAGTACCGTTGATGGCGATGCAATATTATCTTAGAATATTCGAAATTAAGTTCGAAAATTTGTTAATATGTCGAACTTAAAATTTGTTTGCGTTCAATTGCTGTATACTACTTGACTTGAATTACACACACACTCTCATTACTTGTATCGTTTGACTCTTTATTTTCAAATATAAAAAAATCAAATGTTTGTTTTTTAAGGTTGCATATTAGACTTCTTGGCCGAATCGAAAGATTATAACGCCAACGACTGGACAGAATATCAAATTGAGTTTTTTTTTTTTTGTTCTAAACCATAATCAAAATTAAAACTTAGGTTAAGTTATTAACCTAAGTTTTAACATGCACTTCAAAAAACCGTAACTCGGTACAGTTATTCGACGTCACACATTTGACCAATGCGGTTTGAAACGTAAAACCCTCGAAGGCAGAGCAAAAAGGACGGCCTGATTCCTATTAAGCGATAATGGCAACGATGCACGACGATCTTCCTCCACACAGAGCTGAATTACGAATGAAAATTAAATGTTTTAATTTATTATTTAAGGCAGTCATTATCTTCCTAATGTACATAAAATTAGGAAGGTAATTAATTTTAGCAAAATAACACGGTGTGACAAAATTACAAAAAATTAATACACTCAACGCGAGACCTGGTGAAGTTGGTAGGTGTAGTAGAGTAGATTACAGTACCATTTTTAGAATCTTCAATATACCCTAAAAATCGGAAGATATTGGAAAAAAAATGCTTTTTGTTGACTAGACAGACCAAAAAAATTATATCTCAAAATTTTCTTAACCGATTTAATATTTTTCAACACAGTTTTGAAAACAGTTTCCTTTGTCCTTATTAAAAAGTATACACATTTTTATATTTTTTACGGAAATGTGTAATGAGAGATTTGGTAAATTTTTGATTTTACGAAAAAAAATATATTTTTGTCAGTTTTTATCAGATTTCTACGTTTTATATCTTATTTTATTCTTAAAAATATGGGCTAAAATAAAAAAAATATTTAAAAAATATGTTTTCAAATAAAAAAATATTTAAAACATATGTTTTCAAATAAAGTGTGGGTCAAAAATGATCTTGAATTGTAAAAAAAAATTGTATTTGGATCTAAATATTTTACACATTTCCGTAAAAAATATAAAAGTGTGTATACTTTTTAAAAAGGACGAAGGAAACTGTTTTCAAAACAGTTGAAAAATATTAAATCGGTTAAGAAAATTTTGAGATATATATTTTTTGGTCTGTCTTATCAACAAAAAGCGTTTTTTTTCCAATTTCCTCCGATTTTTAGGGTATATTGAAGTTTCTAAAAATTGTAAAATGGTCTACTCATCTAGGTCTATAAAAAGCAATATATCGCGTAATGAGTGTTTTTGAGTGAAAATTATTCACTTCTTTTATTAAGTTTAGTGATGAATTGAAAAATATTAGCCTCACTCACTTCTACTACTTCTACTTCCAAAAAAAATAACTTTTATAACCACTTCAAAAGTAGCGAATATATATTTTTTGTTCTTACATTTTTATGAGATAACACCGTCAACAGTCATTTTCACACATGAAAAATTCTATGTGTACAGGAAACTGTGGACTTACTATGAACTCTGTGTACTCAGTTTTTCATAATCAGCTCTTATGCCCCTGTAAAAGGATCTTAAAGTTTAAAGGACATACGATTTCAAAAGATGGAATTCCAAATTTATATAAACGATTTGGTATTAATATAATATATTAATAATAATTAAACTATTTT